TTTAAAAAACATCTACAATGTCAAAAATTAGGCTAAACCTTTGCACAGTTAAAAGGTTCCCTTCCTGGAAACTGGCAACAGCACTTGCTGGTTAGGTTAAACTGTCTAACAGCTTTTTTTTCGCTTCTGTGAACCACGCTTGCATTGCTTGAAAGGTACCTAGGCCTCCAGGATGTTGCGGTTTAGCCCACTTGAAAAGTCCTAATGTGGTTTAGCCTTTCTTAAGCAAGTCCCTACAGCTAATCAGGGCCTCTTGCTGTGGGACTGTTATGTCCAGCAGGCAAGTGGCTGCCGGCCCAGCACTTGGCTTAATAAAAACCTCACCTTTTTATAACTTAAACTTCTGGTGTTAACGTCTGTGAATTAAGCGCTCAGACCCTATTTCAGAACAATGATCATAACACTATAAAAAAGGGATTGGCAGTACTGGGAAACTGCCAGCGGATGGGGAATGGGATTGGCAGTTGAAGGAAACTGCTAGAAGAGGGATGGGCACACCTCATCAACAAGGGTACCTGCATTATGAACATTTGTACACCTAACCCTGAATTGTACCCCACATCTTTAAAATAAATTTTTTTAAAATAAAATAATTTTTTTAAAAAAGGAGGCAAAGAATATTAATAGACACGTCTCAAAGGAAGACATATAAGCAGCCAGAAAATATATGGAAAAGTGCTTAGCTTCACTAATCATCAAAGAAACGCAAATCAAAACTACAAGAAATACTATCTCACACTGGTTAGGATGGCTATCATTAAGAAGTCAAAAAAATAACAGGTGGCAAGGCTGCAAAGAAAGGGAACACTTCTGCAGTGTTGGTGAGATTGTAAGCTTTTTCAACCTTTGTGGAAAGCAGTGAGGTGCTCTCTCAAAGAACTAAAAATTGAGCTACCTTACAACCCAGTAATCTCACTTCTGGAAGAATACTCAGAGAAACATAAATTTCTCTACCAAAAAGATATTTACACACATATATTTATTGTAGCACTGTTCAAAAATAGCAAAAACATGGAACCAACCCAAATGTCCAACAAAAGTGTACTGGATAAGGAAAATGTGTTACATATACACATGAAAATCTGCACTCCCATAACGAACAAAATCAAGTCCTCTGCAGCAACATGGGTACAGCTGGAGACCATCATTCTAAGTGATCTGTTACAGAAACGAAGAACTGAATACTGCATGTTTTCAATCATAAGCGGGCCTAAAACATTGGACACATGAGCATAAAGACAAAGCTAAGCATTGCTAAAGGAGAGAAGCAGGGAGAGGGCCAAGGGGCACACAACCACCCATTGGGTACCATACACCACCGGGGGGACGTTGGGCCTGCTAGAAGCCCTCACTTGCGCACAATTTACATATGTAACAAATCCTCACGCAGTCTACAACTCTAAAATTTTAAGAAAGTGATCATTAAAGACCACTACAGGTCAGGCTTGGTGTCTCAGCCTGTAATCCCAGCACTTTGGGAGTCCGAGGTGAGTGCACTGCCTGAGCCCAAAAGTTTGAGACCAACCTGGGCAACTTGGAGAGACCTCGTCTCCACAGTAAATAAAAAAATTAGCTGGGCGTGGTAGCGCGTGCCTGTAGTTCCAGCTACTTGGAAGGCTGAGGCAGAAGGATCTCTGGAACCCAGTAGGTCGACGCTGCGGTGGCCGTGAGTGTGCCACTGCACTCCAGTCTGGGCAACTCAACTCATAAAAAACTCCAACTCAAAAAAAAAAAAAGAAAAAAAAACCACTACAATAGCTTGAATGAAAATGGTAGAGTGCAACAGTTTTTGCAGATTTAGTTATATGCTTATGTTTGAGTAGTTATCTATGTGTCCATTTTTTCCTTATTATCTTCATAGTTTTATGGTATCCAGAAGTAGTTATCTATGTGTCCTTTTTTTCATTATTATTTTCATATTTTTATAGTATCCAGGAGTTATTCTTAATAAGTTGTAAAAGTATTCTTATATAAGTTTCATTGCCTTAAACAATACAAGAAAAGCAACAAGCATCTTATTGTTTGACTAATATTGTCCAGCACCATCAATATGTCTAATGCTATTGCATTTTCTTGTCCCTAGGGTCTCTATCCCCATTGTTGCCTGTGTGAGGATGATTGCCAAAACTGATTATATTGAAGAGTCCTTAGTGACTTTTAAACCTGAACTCCAAGGACTCTTTTGGTTTATTGACTCTTTTGACTTCTGTTATAGATGGAGTATATAAATCAACTAGTTATATTTAGGGCCAAATATGTTTTCCTGACCAGTAAGTCAGAAGATCAACTGTCCCTCATCACCCAATAATTCATGGTATCCCCAACACTTTGCACTAGGTATCCCTTTATTTTAGCTACCAAGAGAACAAGAATATATTTTCTTAGTTTAAAATGGCAGAAGTCTTCTCACAGAAAAAGTTATGTGAAGGAGGACTCTGGGCATTTCCAGGAACTTTTCTGTTTGTGAAGACTTATTCATCACATGTCTCCACTGGAATATTCCTGTTCAACCTCAGCCTTATTATAAACATCTACAAATAACTGTCAACAGATGTCATGAACTAACTTACTGCTTAATGGGTAAGTATGAACACATTTGCTGATTCAGTTATTTTCAATGTATGTATGCGTATACACTGGCAGTAAAAGAGAGGTGAGTGGGAAGTGTAATGATTTATTTCTCTATTTAAACAAAGTGCTAGGTTCATAATCAATATGTTGAATGCTATTGTTAGCATTTGATGGAAAGAATCTACAATCATTTGTGAATTTTTTGCTGGATTGATGATCATAGAAATTATTACTAGCTCTGGGTGGGGAATATTCATAAATAAAATTAACCACAAACACAGATATAAACAAAAAGTTAAAAATGTGAATGTACACACAATAGCAGCAGACTGAAATATTGACTGGAGATTTTATTGACACTTCTGATCTCTTGAAAAATTAAAATACTTGCTGAAATTCAATAGTCAAAGCAGGATTTCATCCATATGAATAGGATGGGATTATTCAATAATAATATTTATGCAAGACTGAATTCAAGTAAAGCAAGACATTAATGACTGCAGATAAAAGGTAGCCTTATGACCTGAATAAAGCTGAATACAATTCCAAGAGAATTAAGGGGTGGGGAACTGAGATAGTAAAAAAGAAAACAGGACAAAGTTTCTCGATGTGAGCTACAGGATCATGTTCTGGTGACAATGCTTTGCCCAAAAGGGCATTAGCTTCCTATCAAGCATTATCTCCCCTTGGCCTAAATTAGGGATCCCTGCTCTATAACAATGTTTCTCTACCACAGAGACTTCGCTCAGTATAGTGAGTTTATCCTGCAGGAGGCAGTGCTTACTTGATTCGACAAAAATGAGAAAGACATTATTCATGGTTTTGGTAGTACCCGCATCCAAGCTTTCTGAGAGAAATGTTCTAAAACCGTATGAAAATGCCTTATTTTTAGGAGATCTCTTTTCCATTTAGTAAAGGTAAGAAAATCTGGAACTCTGAAGACAGTGCTTACAAATTAGAAACCTATGAATATCTAGATATATAACTGAGGATACATAAAAAATAATTTTCACCTAGTTATTGATCTTAACCCAGAATAATAGAGGCTCAAGTCTACAGTTTTTCACTGAAAGAAATATTGAGCAAACATTGAGGGATAAATATAAAAAGAGAGATTAATAAAATAGGGGAAATTAGTCAGTTGCACTTTGGCACCTTTATTTTCCATCAGGCCTGATATTACATGTGAATTGTGTAAGTATTTACATGTAGTATGGCACACATTTAGTTTTTGTCCTCAGTAGTCTGATTTACACCAGCAGTGTCAGCATAATTACTAATACTGCCCCCTTGGCTTCAAACATCTTGATTTAGATGAAAAACAGCATAGTACCCCTACCTTGGTTTCAGTTACCAAGAGAAATACCATCTTTGGATATGAAAACATTAAGGTAAATGGGCACCAACAAGTAGTTGTTAAGACTAGGGACTCAAGTTCCTCTTTCTGGCCACTTATTTTCTAGGAAACCATGGCCACGTACTTTACCTCTCTGTTCCCCAGCTTTCCCATTTTTCAAGAGGGCATAATATATCTCCCTACTTTACAGATTTTCCTAAGGATATTACTTATACAGGCAATATACTTAAAACAGTACCTGGGGCATGGCAAAAGATTTGTGTTTGCTATTATTATGATTATACTGAGTTAAGTCATCGAAAGACACTTAAAGGAGCACTTTTTAAAAACTGGTGAGGTGCCGGGCTCGGTGGCTCAACCTATAATCCCGTGCCTTTGGGAGGCTGAGGTGAGTGGATTGCCTGAGCCCGCGGGTTCGAGACCCGCCTGGGCAGCGAGACCTCATCTCTACAATAAATCAAAAAATCAGCCGGGCCTGGTAGCGTATGCCTGTAATTCCAGCTACTTGGAAGGCTGAGGTGGAAGGATCGCCGGAGCCCAGCAGGTCGAGGCTGTGGTGGCCGGGAGCGGCCACTGCACTCCCGTCTGGGCGACAGAGTGAGACTCCAACTCAAAAAAATAAATAAATAAATAAAAATAAAAAATAAAAACTGGTGAGGTGAAAAGCCAGATGGTAACAGATGAGAGACAAATGCATACTTGTAGAAATAGAAGCAAAGACCGTGAATCTGAAGGAAATGAGAAAGAAAAGAATACTATGTCATTGTGAGGATATTCAGCAACTTTTTTCTTAACTTTTCTCCACGTTGTATAACTTGTTCTCATCTGAGTAGCTAACTGATCAACTTACTAAAAAATGTACTAATATATGGGAACGTGCATATGTGTGAGTTTGTGTGTGTGTGTGCATATCCTCACTATAAAATTCTTCAGGTAAACAAGTAAAACCCATGGATGTTGTATGAATGGACTATGCACAAGAGTTAATCATTAGCTGATTTTGTTATTTAATTCTGCTGTTCAGGTTTCTCTGACATTGACATGTAGGTTTGGCAAAATCCAGAAGTTAAAAATGAGAAACCGCACAGCAATAACAACATTCATCCTTCTGGGACTGACAGATGATCCTCAGTTGCAGGTTTTACTTTTTATATTTCTACTTATCACCTACATGTTGAGTATAACAGGAAATCTGACCATCATCACCCTCACCATGGTGGATTCCCACCTGAAAACACCCATGTATTTTTTTCCTCCAAAATTTCTCTTTCTTAGAAATCTCATTTACAACTGCCTGTGTTCTAAGATTCTTATACAGCCTATCAACTGGGGACAGAACTATTACCTATAATGCATGTGCCATTCAACTACTTTTTACAGATCTCTTTGGTGTAACTGAATTTTTTCTATTGGCTATCATGTCGTATGATCGCTACATGGCCATCTGCAAACCCTTGCGTTATATGACAGTCATGAGCAACAAAGTGTGCAGAATAATGGTTATTTGTTGTTGGATGGCAGCATTTTTGATTATCCTCCCACCACTCAGCTTAGGTTTTTATCTAGAATTCTGTGACTCTAATGTCATTGATCTTTTTGGCTGTGATGCATCTCCTATCCTAAAAATATCATGTTCAGACACATGGTTAATTGAGCAGATGGTTATAGCCTCTGCCGTGCTGACTTTCATCATCATTCTTATATGTGTTGCTCTCTCTTACATATATATCATAAGGACAATTCTAAAGTTCCCTTCTGTTCAACAAAAGAAAAAAGCCTTTCCTACCTGTTCTTCACACATGATTGTGGTTTCCATCACCTATGGCAGCTGCATCTTCATCTATGTCAAGCCATCTGCAAAAGAAGAGGTAAACATTAACGAAGGCGTGTCAGTGCTTATTTCTTCCATGTCACCTATGTTGAATCCTTTCATATATACCCTGAGGAATAAGCAAGTTAAACAAGCCTTCAATGACTCACTCAGAAAAATTGCATTTCTCTTAAAGAAGTAAAGTGTACTTCAGTTGATAAATCAGTTCTTAAGATCCACATCTACTTCAGATTTTTCCATAAAGCTGATAACCAACTTTGTAATTTCTTAGCTCATAGAGCAATAAAATTGACCTCATAGCCATTTACTCATCAATTTTCCGTTAATTTATTTACTGAAGAATTAGTTAAGGAACAATATGATAGATAAAATGTCACTTTTACTCCTTTAATCAAATTAAATTACTTCCTTCTATCCAGGTGACTTTCTCAGGTAATTTCTTAATATGGGTGTGAGGTCATACTTTTTCCCCCAGCTTCTATGAGAAGTCATCCTTAGTCAATACGCACATTCCCTTTCCCATTTAAAAAAGTAAATTTACCTGAAAAACTTCAAAATATCTCCTGTAAAATGAGAAAATTTAACAAAAAACACTAAAGAGGAAGTATAAGTAAAAGAATAGCATTGTGCTACAGCTAACATGAAAGCTCTAATACCATAAATACACAGAAAGTTTCTATAAATAAAAAGCAAATGACAAACAATTTACTACAACTATCAAGAGAAACAGATATTTAATTCACTAAGAATAAATGAAATCACTAATAACAATAGGAAAGAATGTACAAATAATTATTAGTCATAGATTTAAAAATTAAAATAATGACATATATTTCATTCATCGCACTTGCACAAACTAAATTATTGCATTTTGTTCAGTGTTAGCATGTATGCTAATACTTAACAAGACACAGGCACTTTAATACACAATTTGTTTGAAAACACTGGAATTCATATTTATCAAAAGTACATATAACATTTCACCTGTTTCATCTACATATAGAAATTTATTTCAAAATTCTAATTGTCAATAACACTATTCATTGCAGTCATTTTGTAATAGTAAAAAGTTGGAAACAAGCAAATGAACATTCCTTGGTAATATGTAAGTCAATAAAAAATTGTGATATAAAATGTAGTGTTTATCAAATGATATAGACCTTGATCCTATAACAAATGGATATTAAATTTTTTTAATTACTGAATAATACATATGTCATTATGCCATTTAGGAAAAATAACATTTTATGTTGATCATGAATGTATAAAGGCAGATAATATATATTTTAACCACCCCTTTCCCACACCATGAGTACCAAGTACAGTAGTCATGGAATGCAATGGAAACGAGTATATATTTGATGGATGGACAATTCCCTGTATGAAAGGCTGAATGGATTAATGAATTATTGATGTTGTAAGTAGAAATGAAGCATAAAAACAAACATTGCACAATTACACCAACCATATTGGGAGAAGAATGAGTCATGTAGAAGCCAAGAAGAATGTTCATATACTCTCTAAGCCTACATTGCTTGCTTTTATTGGTAATATTTGACAAATGCCTCTTGTTTTGTTTCTCAGGTTTGATTCACTGTTGAGGGTGGAGGCAAAACACCCAGTAAACAACTTTGTCGAATTGAAGTTTTCAGGAAAATTTTCTTCATTTGCACTTTCAGTGGAAAACTTCATAACCCAAACTAAATCAATTATTGTGTGCTATCACTCAATTTACAGTGATAATTCAAGATTTTCATCTAAATCAGGTCAATCAGAGTTAATCAAGACTTCTTCTGGAAGTCTGATTAACTGTACATTCTTGCTCTGATATGGTGTGCAGAGATAATGTCTGAAACTGCTACAGTTACTGTTTCTACCAGCAGTACTACCCTAAGAACGAGGCCAACACACAGATAAAGTTAGAGCACACAGACAAGTGAGATGGAGATGGAGATGGAGATGGAGATGGAGATGGAGATGGAGATGGAGACAGTGCCCTCATTCCATCATGGACCTCTGGATCAAACTACAAGAAAGGTTAATTCTACCAGTTATATGAACTCAGCCAACAATTTATTTGGGCTACATGTATGTATATTAATGTATTTCTTATATCAATGTTGACTTTTTGTCAATTGCAAGTAAAAGATATTTATGAAAATTTGCTACCAAGAGAATGAAGTAACCAATCTAAAAATTTTATAATTATTCAAACCAAGTTGAGAAAAGAGAAATTTAGAAATTCTTTGTTATATGGTAATGAATAAATTGGTTAAACTACCACCAGGCCTATGATGAGAATTCAGGATTTGTGCCCAGCAAGGCTACAGGATAAGGAAACACAGTAGATAAATTTCAGAGCAGCCATCAAAATGGTCTACTATTAGAGAAAAATAAAATATACCTGAAACTGACTCACATAAAAAGATGAAAAAAATATTAAGTTATCTCTCAGAATTCCTGTGAGTTGGTAATCTGCAGCCTTGAAAGCTTGAAAAAAGCAGATTTTGTGTATTGCGAGATGAAGTTAATGAGAGCAAGCAAAGAACTCTAGTAAGAAATAATATGGGATATGGGAGTCCACAATAGGTTTGATTACTTAGACCCTGTATACCCTCATTAAAAAAATTTTCTTCATGTACTCCCTGATGCAATTGGTAAAAATGACTCCTGTTTATGAAAGGGTAGGAGAGATTCATCTTAGAAACAAAAGGGAGATTAAAAGTGCTTCCCTTCACCTGGCCATTGACTTGAATTTTCTCTAGGTAATGATCAAATCCGAGTGAGTTAAGCTAATGAGAGTTAGCAGCAGAGAAAACATCCAGATGTTATAAGTCACAAGTCCTCAAATTCAATGCTGAATCTGACTTGAAAATATCTTCGGCTTTGCTTCTGTAATGAGTTGGCACATAAATGATTAGTGAATAAGGGTATTATTGTCAAGATAGCATGGGAGTCCTTTTGGTTTATTTCATATTTCTTCCCAGCATTTATACTATCAAGTAACAGCAAAACTCATCCTCTGAGAAAAATTCAGGAAACCATAGAACAATGTAATATCATGAAGCAATATTGATTTATCCAACATTCTTCCTCTTGGCTCATTTTGGTAAGGTCCATGCATTCCTATTTCCAATATAAACAAAGTATTAGTTTTGTACAAATCCCTATGGTGGAAGATTCTAGTGCCCATTTCAAGTATGTGCTCTTTAAATGACAGAATGAAGAGTACTTCCCAAATTTCAAAATCATGGGTACCTGTATTGCCCACCAGCTGGCTCACTCCAGTTCTGGGGCAGTTAATTCTTGTTAATCCTTCCAATTAGGAAAAGACACAATGTATGGACTAGTAATCACTTTGCATTATTTTCCCCAATATCACAAATGAACTCATTTTCATTATCAGCTTCTCTCTCTACCATGGTTCCTGGGTATGTTGGATGTCACTAAACTTATTTAATAATAGCTTGCATATCTGAGGAATGATGCATCTACAACAAATAAAAATAATTAAACATCCAATATTCCTGGACTTGAAGGAAGATACAATTTGAGTTTGCATTTTGAGAGTTATTGATTGCACTTTATGTATCCCTGAGCATTTTCAAAGGCATGTATACTAAAATGTGCATACTTTCAAAGGGTAAATTTTATGGTATTATGGTATAAATTGCATATCAATTTTTTAAAATGTAATAACCACAGTTTTTTAAAAGGATATTTAAGGAGAGAAGCATCCTTATGGAAATCAGACATCAAAAAGATACACCTATTGTAGTAAATATTCGTTGTTTTAGTTTTAGTTTTTTCCTGCTCAAAACTTTCTCCATCCTCATGATAAACAATAGGACAAAACAAAACAGACTTAACAAAAAAAACAGGTTTATCTTGTAGTTGATTACAAGGGTAAATGATGAGATCTAGGCTAATTCACATAGCATGTTCTATGTATCTGGCTACAACAGTGGCTTAAAAATGACCCAACAAGAACAAACAGATCTTAATTTCTCCTGAAAACCTTCTGAACCAGGCTACTTTTCTTCTCTATGGGGTTGTAGAGGAGGTTTTATATAGAACTGCTGTTACAATTATTGCTAGCATGAAGAGAGCCTTGATGAGGATAAAAAGCCACACTGAGAATGGAATGTAGAAATTTCTATAGAGGTAGATCCAGGGGGAAAAAAATGACAGCAGATTGTATTTTACCAAGAATGAGCCCTATCATTAAATTTTTTGTAGCACCTCAACCAAGAGTGTTTATCTTTTCTGATCAGATGGAAACAGGTCGTCTCACACTTGCAACCAAAATTTTCTAGCTGAATCAAAAATCCTGTCACCCTACATGTTTCCATAACACTTTGGGCTTTCCTAGGATTGCAAACAATAAAACCATAACAGATTGTTTCAGTAATGGACTAAGGGGTCATGCTTCTCTGGACCCACACTTTTATATAGTGCCCTCACATTTGTCTCTGACCTTAACCATGTGACTAGCTTTGGTCAATACAAAATAAGATGATATGTGGAAATGTGGAAATGCTTGCACATTCGGGCTTGTTGTCTCTCTTGTTGTTTTTGGAATGTAACTGTTATATGAAGATTCTTGGGCTAGCCTGCTGGAAATATGTGGCCTACCCAGAGTCAACACCAAGCACCAGACATTTGAGGATGGCTGCCCAAAACAAGTCAATCATAACAAATGAAATAAATAATTTGATTTAACAACTATCCAGCTCATAAAAACATTACTAGTACCCAATAGGTCTCCCTCAATTTGCCCCAATGACAATTCCTTCCCATCATTCTAACATTAACACGCTTTATTTTTCTATCCATAAAACATTTTGCTTTTTTAAAAAATAAATATAACTGGAATCACGTTTTCTACATGAAATTTTTCACTCAATTTGTTTATGAGATTCATATATATGTAGATGTGTAGCCATACAAGGGGGAGCCCCCCAAGAAATGGATCTCTCCACGAGGTCAAAAACTATTTTGAGCAGTGAAAAAATGTCTCCATAGGTGTATTGCATTCCTCATTCTGCCCCAATCACAATTCCCTCCCACCATTCGAGCATTCACTCATGTTCTTATTTTTCTATCCATAAAATATTTTGCCTTCTTTGGAAATAAATATAATTTATTTTAAAATGTATTTAAACTTTGAAGGTGACAGGT